CGATTGTTACTGATAACCAGTCTCCGGAGGCCTTATCCCAAACACAAAACTAAAATCAATTCACAATCTAATTAAACTTCATTGGACATCTCACCAGACCCACTAAGGCAGCGTAATGCAAATCTAATTAGACTCAACGAAAACCTCATAGGTTCTTCAGTATCCTTAGGCCGATACAAGACAATGAACAACAAAGAAATAGGGGATATCAGTCATTCAGAACACGAATTCATTGTTAGGAGCCTCATTGGCCGATTTTGAGAATAGCCTCGGCCAGAATAGTCTTGAGGAACTTTCAGTTTTTGGCCGGAACAAGTATGCTTAGGAGGGTGACATTTAGGGGGAAGGAGTGAAAGAAGGTTGAAGTCATGCGCCATTGCTTCAGGCTCTCGGCCAAGTACTGTTTATGCTTTAATTGTTTTGTGAATACCTTTCAAGTGGCTACAACCACCCAGTAAACATCGATTCCTCGAAGATGCATACACGCGCTGAATGTACTTGTTGGATTTGGCCAACTTGCTTGCAAGAATCCATGAAAGAATTGCCAAACATCGGGTTTGTTTAACCGCAATATTGGCTGCAAGCATGTAGCACACCGAAGCAACCGTGAGGCACAAGCCTCAGGAACTAAAAGCATAGCCGAGACCCTCCATGAGGAGTTCCTTCCTTCACCAGGGTGCTACCATCACCCGGATCGTTGCATGACTGTTTGTTGCTGCCAGTGCGTGTTTGTGCTGTTGATGACAAGGCCCCCGAGACTGAACTTGTTGTTGAAATCTCGACCTGTAAAATGGTGGTTATACAAAGATCCGCAGGAAGGTGTGATTTTCAGTTTGTTTTTGCACAGTTCTTTGCGGGGTATTTTGAGCAATCACCTGATCAGCCACCCCTCACTGACATGGCAATTCAGCGGAAACATTTACTGATGTGGAGCGCGCACTTAGTGTCCAAGCTGCGCACTTGTGCTCTCCGGTTCCTCAGTCGAATCTGCAGAGCCCGCCCTTTCGCATGTAAAGCGACCAGCTCTGTCTGGGGATAAGATTCAGCCGCACATTGGCAACGCAGATCGACAAGTACTGGAACATTGGCTCTGTCCAGGTGCATGGCAAGGGAACCCTCGTCTACACATACGGTGACAAGTTTGTTGGTGACTGGGTCGACGTCGGCAGCTTAGGCCTTCTTGTGAAAGGACATCTTGTGGCATGAGCTAGCCGAATTTAGGCTAAGAAGGAGGGTGAGGGCGAACTCATCTACTCCAATGGCGACCGGTTCAAAGGTTGGAAGCATGTATGGCAATTTTGTGACATGACTACTACTGCACATCGACCATACAGGTCAGTGGGCCGATGATAGGGCCTCTGGCTATGGTATTTTCATTTATGCCAATGGCAATCGCTACGATGGCCAGTGGCTAGATGACAAACGTGGTTGTCTCAGCTGAAGTGGCAAGGCGCTGTGATTTGCAAAGCCAAATGTCAGACCTTCGGTGAGGTCACGGCAGAGGAGTCTTTTTATGTGCAGAGGAAGCAGCCTGCTGCACTGTAGTGACTCAGTGTGGAGACTGAAGCATGTAGCGACCAGGATGGATCAGTCTACGATGGGGAGTTTGCATTCGGCAGAAAGGAAGGCGCATGTTCTTCAGCTTTGGTACCGTGAACAATGCTACCATGGACTTCAGATACCTCCAAGCCCTCACAGTATCTCACGGCCAACAACTGATGTCTACCTGCCCAAAAAGCCCTTTACGTTTACATGCGGGATTTTTGGACATTTGCATGATGCTCGACGTGTTGGAAGTGCTTTTAATGTTGGGAAAGTTTAAGGATTGCGGCTTCATTGAAGAGTCTATCGTCTAAGCTTTGTCCAGTAGTGCGAGCGGACGCCAGATTTTACATGTGGAGCAGCCCGTTTCCAGGCTGAGGTCTGCAGCAGACCGGTCATGTCCATCCCACTTGACTTGGAAGGCAGAGGCGTGCTCAAATTGCAAACTGGGCATGTTCTGAGTGGTGTCTGGAAGTCCTGACCTCGGAGTTTAATTGTCTTGCATCTGACCAAAGTAGGCCTCTTTCAACTCAAGACTGCATGATTTCACGCATGACAGGCAGGGAGAGCTTACACAGGCCATGGTGCTTCAAGCTGAGCAGAGTGCCTTCGTGTTCATGATTATGTCCGTTGAGATGTCAGGTGGTGGAGTTCGTCTTTTCGGCGGATTCACCTTGGAAAAATCCAGATTTGTGACGGATTGTTTTAGGTTCACATCGAAAGCAGCTTCATGTTGTGCTTGCACTTTATCGCGTGACTCGCATGCGCATTTGCCTGGATGCACGCATGCACGTTCAGTTCCAAAAAGTGACTAAGGAGCTACTTTTCTCCTGGCTGCGTTTGCAAACAGTCATGGAGTCATGCGTTGCGTTTCGATTTGCTTATGCTTACTCGTCAGCCACGTTGCCTGCAAAAGCACAAGGCTGATTCGTACACTAATGCTATTCCTGGGACCTGCTGCATCGCTTTATGTGAAGCTATGGCTAACTTTGAGATTCGCCCACCGAGCGAGGAAGCTGTTTCTGTACACAGCAGAAGGCTCTCAGATGATACGGTTCTTCTCATCCTGAGTGATTGAGGTGGCCTCAAACACAAAGATGTTTGTTTGTGCTCAAGAACCGGGGAAAGTGAAGCCACAGATCCCCTGCAATGCTCTACGAGCGGTAGAAGACACCGATATGATCTTGTACGGCTTGATTCTGGCTTCTGCTTCCGCGCAAGATCCAAGTCTCAGAGCCGAACAGGCTCAGCGCGCCACACAAGATCTTTTGCAGTGCCCATGAGATCATTCTGTAAATTCTCCAAGTGGAAGTGCGACATTCATGTTTGTCATCTGTCCTGGCGCCGTATCGAGCTGGAAAACATGCCTTAGTCAGGCAGCGTTCGCACAGTTTGGGCAGTTCAGTTGGTCGCAACATCTTAGTGCAACTTCTGGATAGCATGAACATGCTGTTTCCCTGCCTCATCAGTAGTCATCAGCAATCAGCAGCAACACCCTCTGGCATTCAAACTATTTTTCGGTGACATGTTGGTCAACAATTCTTGGCAAAGCTGGCACAAACTACTGCGAGTGAGCTGGCAGTTTGTTATGCCGGGCTACGATGCTGTTCAACGTGGCCTGCAATGGAAGCACCGAGTAGACAAGGAGGCGGCAGGTAGACGGACTGCCATCTTTTTTCAATAGCTGTTCCATTTTCAGGAGCTGGCAATATGTCAGCAATTTCTTGCAACTGGCATACACCAAGGACATTTGCAAAGCTTGTCAAGATATGTATCATTTTCCCTTAAACGCCTTTTGGAGGTAAGGAGCCAGAAGCCCGCTCGAATCTGACCACAAGTCCGCGCGACGGTCTCGCTTGCTTTCCAGGAAATGTTCCTTGTGCTGTTTCATGTCACAAATTGGCTGGCTCGTTCCTTGTGCGAACAGTCCTTGCGAAGTTGTTTTTCACTTCCAAGTCTGCAGTTGGCAGAGTCCAGTGGTGTCATCTTCTCCGGGCCATGCAGTGTAAATGAAGATAGGGGACAGCTATTTGAAGATCCATATACAGCAATGCACGGTGGCGCACAGCAGCATTGCAAAGGCAACGGACATGCGCAGAGTTGGCAAGCACCTCTCCAACAAACAGCGATCATGGTAAGCGCTTGCTGAGACGCTGCCACCAGCAGGACCTGGCCTTCACTTGACCGACCAGAGGCCTGTAACAGCAGGCCATGGCCTGTCGTAATGAAAGAGATTTTGGGAAGATGAGGAAGCAACGCAGAAAATCACAATTGAGGTTGCAGCCAAGAGACTTCCATAGCACAAGCGGCAGAAGTGAGAAATCTTGATCTGACAATGCTCTTTCCAACTTTCTTCGTTCAATGCGTCCTGATTTTCTTCTTTTTGTCTGCATCACAGTTTGCTGTGCGGTATGCTTTTCCCTGCTCCGTGCTTTTCTGCATTCGTACTGAGTTTTTCCAAGAGGCTTTCTGCAGCCCCGTAGCCCGGAATGCTTGCCTGTTTCTTCCTTGGGCTACTACAGCTACTACTACAGCTAGTTTTACTTGCCTCGATTCGTGCAAGCTGGGGTGGCTTGTTGCGGGGACATTGGTCACGCTCAAGATGAACGGGCTTGGTGCCGGCACATGGTGCTGCCAGTCTTCCCGGGTTGTGCGTGGAGTAGTATCTGTCAGCTGGAGCAAGCTAGGTGTTTTGGACTTGTCATGTGCTTCCAGTTCCATGCGCATGCATAGCCAGCATATCTATTGCGATTGAAAGCCCTCTGTACTCTTGGTGCACCCTGCGGTTTGCAATCCAAACGAGTTTCCCCTGTTCTGGTGTAGGGGCTGTCCCTCAGCTTGGCAGGTACCGTGAGAAGAACCTGGACGAACTCTCACGCACTGGAGGCCTCAAAGCAGTAACTCAACCTTTATCATCCTGCTTCTCGAACGTCTTTAGAGTCAGTTGTGCAGGGGCACTGACTCTGCAGAAGTCAAGTGTGCTGGAAAGGCCGTGCCGGCAAAGTTTCATGCTGCGAAAAGAACGTCCGCAAGCCTGCACCAACAAGGCAACATGCTCGAAGACCGCCGTGCCACGCATCCACGAAAGGCAGCGAGGCCAGTTCGTGTTGACACCGGCCGCGACGAAACCTGCAGCAAGGAACGCTTCGAAACACGAGGATTGCTGCCACGACAGGCTGATTGCTGCGTCATGCCTGTCGATTGGCTGCCGTTCGATGTGCAACGTCCTTGACGAAAACAGGTGTCAATATGATTGTGACCAGGCATGTACGTAGCGTGCAGCCAGTATGCCTCTAGTGAGTGCATGGCATGCGCAGCACAAAGACGCACCAACTTGCGCCGTTGGAAGGCTCACGAGTGTTCGCTAGCAAAAGGCGCTGTGCGCTCTTAATGTCCGGCTTGTTGGCTGCTCTTCGATATTGGCAGCGGAGCCTAACCGTTGCAATGGCTTCTGGGACCGATGACGAGCGCTGGGCGCGAGTCGCAGGCGGTGCCGCTGAACTTGGCGAGGTGGGCCAAGCTGACCTTCCCGGCGGAGAGCCCGTCGACAACGAGCGCTCGGAGAGTGCCGCCAGTGGCGGCGAGTCGAGCGCCCCATGGTGGGCCGCCATGGCCATAGAGTGGCGACAGCAAGGGTGGACAGATGGGGAGATCTGGACCTACCTTTTGGGACAAGACGATGACCAGCACTCAGAGGAATGGTGGGCCGACTGGAGCAGTCATGACTCGTCATGGGGGGAAGCAACCCATCGTCGAGGATGGTGGCCAAAAGGTGGCGGCCACAGCGACCCGGACCCCGAGAACTAGCAGTACGGCGGAGACGTCCGAGGGAGAGCCCCAGGACGACTAGGAGGAGGTGATCCGGCGGAAGGACTTCGGCAATGGCACAGTGGAGACGCCCGAGCTAGAGGAAGCGACCCGGGATACCATGAAGGAGACGACAAGGTCGAAGAGCTGGATCCCTGGGCAAGGGCATTGCGACGGACGAGCGGCCAGTTTGGAAGTGAGATCATGGCAGGAGACGAGCCGACGGAGAAGACTCCCGTGCCGACCTTCAACAAGCAGGCTGGCGAAGAGGGCGAGGTTGGCAGCTCAGCTCGCAGCTACCTGCGAAGGTGGAGGCATGGGACTGCCTGTGGCTCAGAGGGGCGTGGCACTGTAGGTCGCCTAGACTTGGACTTGCTGAGCGACGAGAATGGGGCCCAGTACTTTAAGGCGTGGGTGAAGGAGCGTTTCATGGACGTGGAGGTCACGCAGGTGGGGCGCGTTATGAGCCAGTTCTTTCGAGTCCTGAAGAGAGGCCACGACCAGTGCGGAGCTTTTCGGGCGAGTTCGACCGGATGATCTCGAGGCTATAGCCGAGGTGCAAGCGAGCTTGCCGGAGGCGGTGCTGGCGTGGATGTACATCGGCGGAGGCGATGAAGACGACAGCGCCTGCATGGTCAGCGAGGAGGTGGCGCAAGAATTGCGCGCGGCCTTCCTGGCACACCGGAGCGATCCCGAGCGCCAAGTCGCGCTACAAGGAGGCCATGAAGGGCAGAGGCTTCGACGGCGATGCCATGAAGGAGAAAGCGGCAGTCCGGATAGCGAAAGAAAGGTCGTACTGCAGGGGCGCTGGTGCAAAGACCCCGAGTGCCCCTTGAATAAGAACAAGGCGGTGAACCTGGTCCACTTGCGCGTGGTCGACGCTCATGGACATGGCCGCGGAGATGCCCAGGAGGTCTTGGTGGTGGAGGTGCACGCCGCGATGTGCGCAGGGCACGAGAGGCTGCTCATGAATGATCCTTGACACCGCGTGCGCCAGGTCTGTCATGGGGTGCCCGGCCCTGACCGTGGAGGAGGCCGACCGGACGGGGATCGAGTATGTTTTCAAGAATGACGACGAGTCCCTTAAGTTCGGTGCCTCAAGACGGACTTCGCCGCTTGGTTGCCAGTACAGGTCGGGGCCCAATGGCTTGTCGTGCGTGGCGGTGCTGGCATGTGACGCCCCGTTCTTGCTGGGTTGACCAGGGCTAAAGAAGCTCAAGGCCAACATCGACTCGGCGGCGAGAACGTGGACTTTGGAGTCTTGAAAGGGGAAAGCTTCATTCTTGTGCAGGCCCAAGGAGGACATCCCGCTATGGCCGTGTTTCCAGAGGGAGAGGCAAAGCCGCCGCGGCTACGCAGGACAAAGACTGCGGCGCATTTTGCGGAGTGTGGTGCCTGAACACCGTGCGAACATACATGGCGAGTGTAGGGGGGAACCTTGGTCCATTGACAGTCCTACTGCGACAAAGGCGAGCTTGATGCTTGGGACTCAGTGCGTGATGGCAGAAGGATGGTGTGTGTGGAGCATATAGGGGACATCCAAGCCGTTTTCTTGGACGGCGTAGAGGCGCCCCGAAGCTTATACTTCCGACAGCCACCTCGACGTGGAGGAAGGCGTTCTGATCGAGATCGTGAAAGGAGTCTTTGGGCTCTAGGCCCCTGCGTGTTCCACCTGGTTCTGGTCGAGGATGCGGAGCGCAGCGGAGCCGCAGCGGAGGGGAGCGACTGCTCGAGCTTCGCGTGGATGACCTCATGCTTTGGACCTTGCGGCAATTCAGGGACCTGCTGCAAAGCGCCCTGGGCAAGCTGTTCCCCATCTGCATGTGCTAAAATTCCTTCAAGTATGTGGGGAACAATTAGGACGAGACCAAGGACGGCTACGCGGAGTACGTGACGGACCGGCTGAAGACCGTCGACATCCTCCAGGACATGGGGAACGAGGGGGCAGCGCCTCGAGAAGTCTTCCATGACAACCGGGTGGCCAAAGAGACCAGGCCCGACTTGTCCTTCGCAGCCAACGTGGGCCAGACGAAGCAGAACTTCCCAAGGCGTCGGCCGGGAGCACCAGGAGCAGGTCGCAGATTGGGTACCTGATCCTCGCGGTGTCCCGGACCCCCATCAGAAAGAGACCTGGAGCGGCGAGCTTGTTGGCGTGGAGGTCGCGCTCATGCCGAAGGGTGACCTTTGCAGGGGAGACAATGGCCTACAATGGCCTGCTGCGAAGGGATGGAGAGCGTCATCCAGCTGCGGGCAAAACTTTTGTCGATGAAGTTGAGACGTCTGGTCAGCGAGCCCGAGGCGGGAGGATGATCCCGATCCACACCATCACGAACTGCCGGTCGCTGTTCGACTTCGTGCACAGGTGTGGTGCCCCAAAGGCCACGGCGGACAAAAGGTTGGTGATCGACTTGGCATCGCTGAGACAGATCTTCTTGAACGAGGCACGCGGGTGGTGGCACCGAGAGCGTGGAGCTGCAGTCCCGGCCCCGCTGAAGATCCCACTCCACTGGGCCCCTAGCGGGCGCCAGTTGGGAGATATACTGACGCATCAGCTGAAGGCCGAACCCTGGTGGAAGGCCATTTTGGCACCCTTTTTCCTTGCGGTCCGCACTCATGAGTCGTAAAGGGACGCTTCACTTTTGGACCTGTGTCAATATGATTGTGACCAGGCATGTACGTAGCGTGCAGCCAGTATGCCTCTAGTGAGTGTATGGCATGCGCAGCACAAAGACGCACCAACTTGCGCCGTTAGAAGGCTCACGAGTGTACGCGAGCAAAAAGCGCTGTGCGCTCTTCATGTCCGTCTTGTTTGCTGCTCTTTGATAACAGGAGTCAGCGTAGCTGTATATAAAGACAGTCATGTTCACCTCTGTGCGTTGCGTCGCTGCATTTTGAAGCTTGTGAAGCATTGCTGCTCTCGCTCTAGAGACCCTGGTTGCCCCGAGTTGCAGTGAGCGTGCGCGGACGGAGTGACGGCAGCAGCACATCAATGTCTTCGAAGCCAAGCCCGTCAAGGCCGGAATCAACTGGCGTTCATCTTTTGATGGCAATGCATGTATCCACTCCACTTCCAGTAAGGATTTCCATCAGCTCCGCAGGATCACGCTCACAGAGGCAGGGTCCAAGGAGATCCAAAAAGCGAGTTTTGGCAATGCACCATCGCAGTGGCCCCCAGAAAGGTTTCGCAAAGCACTTTCAAGCCAGCCGTGAATCAATTAGTGGTTCACTTCGGAGAGGTCAATGAAAGTTGTCGGATGTTGTCGATGTTGGTGAGGGGCTCAAAGAGAATTTGGCAAAGTGGCCAAAACAGAAGCAGGAAGATTGCAAGATTTGGCACATTGATGGTTGCCCTGATCAAGCCGGGAGACGTCCAAGTTTCGAGCTCTTGCAACAACTCGCAAGCTTGACTGAACCCCACCAAAACACTTAGTGTGATGCTGTGAAAGCAGTGCTGCTGCATCCAAGCTTAGGAAGCCTCAATTTTACCAGGTGACGGATCTGAACAGGATAGATATCACTTGGGGTGAGCAGCAAAAAACACGTGGAACGAGCGCAAGCATCCCCTTGCGGTGCTGGCTACTACCTCGCTGCTCCAAATGCTTTCGGGACACTCGTTCTCTGTCTGTGTTTTCAATTGACGGGTCCTTTGGCGCGCGTCCTCGCGTGCAGCTTTCTGGCATTGGAACCGTTCAGTCGAATTGAGAGTACATCTTGCTTTGTTAATGCGATGTCTTTTAAGTTGCGCGGCCGCTGTACGTAGTTAAACTTCGACGTCAGCAGAGCGCAGGATGTGTGCTTCTTGCGATGATCCTGTACAGCTCAAGTTAATTTGCTTGGTTTGACAATAAGGTGCCTGAGTAATTTCTTTACATGTGTGTGAAACAATGTTGGATTCTTCAGGACTCTTCAGGACCTGCTGCCCGCAAAGATCACTTCTTACAGGAAGTCGAAGCTGCAAGCACCGGAACTAACGCCGAAGACGAAAAAGAGCGGCCAGAGGCCCCAACCCGGCTTCCCCCCTCTCTCTGACACGGGCTTTCCAGCAAACCCCCTCTCTTTGGTCTTGAACTCAGGCAGGGAGGGGAAGGGGTAAGCCGGGGTTGGGGGAGGGGATAGTTGAAGTTCCACGCCAAAGACGAAAGAGAGGGGTTTGCTGGAAAGTCCCCATTTAGCAGAGAGAGTTGGATTAAGCCGGGGCTGAGAGAAGGGAGTTGAAGTTCCGCCAACCTGCTGCCGCCTGCATCCTGCGGAGATAGAAGGATGAAGAGAAAAGCGATAGGTGGGAGGAAGCCGCAGCGCAAGGAAGCCTTCAAGCTGCAGAATGAGGGGTAGGGGGTTGGGCAGGGGCCTCACTGACGGTAGGGGGGTTGAGAGACCAGTTTGGTAAGAGGAGGGGTGCAATTTGAAAGCGGGTCAAGGAAGGGTGGAAGGAGAAGGCACAAGAAAAGCTCCAGAGAAAGCGTTTTGCAGGGGAGGGACTGGTGAACTGCGAGGGTGCATAGAAGAACCTCCAGAGAAATGGGGAGAGCTTCCAGCAAAGAAGGGGGCCCCAGCTGGGGGAAGGGCTAGGGGAAGGGCACGGTTCGGGAAGGCCAGTTGAAAATCCACTGCTCAGAAGAGATTGACATCCTTCTAGCATGAAAAACAGTCAGTCACGCAACCTCCGTGAAAGGGAAGACGTTCCGGCAACAAGTGCAAAATTCACACCCCAACTTCCGGACACCATCCAGCAAGTGCTATTCTGGAGCCGAAAGTCGGGAAATGCGCGGCGACATTCCGAAAACCGATCGGCACAGCCCCGGAAACACAGTGCCAGTGTTCGGTTGAAGGGTGTCCTAATGCCTTCTCAGAGGCTTTCAGGGTGCAGGGTTAAAGGTTTGCAGGCTGTGGTGGTCCGAAGATTTAAGTTTCCCAGGGTAGGGTCTAAGTCTAAGGGAGACGTTCCACACGATCTAGGGTTTAGGTTTGACTTGGCCTTGAGGTGGGTTTAGGTTTGGGACGGGATTATGGTTTATCAAGCCAAGGCTGGGGTAGGGCTGCAGGTGGAACAGGTTGGGGTTGGCCTTGTTGAGGTTGATGGTTTAGGGTTTGGAGTAAAGGTAGCTGTGGCACTTCAATGCGACTCAACTTTCTGCACAGGAAGCTTTACCGTTCACATATTGTATCATATTGCCAGGCCGGCGATGTTGCCACCTGAAGCTCTCAATCATGAAACTGGCTTGCGGTGTGCTGGGCATTGAGGGGGGATGAGGGTGGTGAGGGAAGTGGGCAGAGATTTGCACCCTTGACTCCTATGGCCTGAGGTCTCGGCAGATTTCATTGGGCCCCATGTTTTTCTAACACCCTAACTTTTTTTTGACACCTCCCTGTTTTCCACCCCCTACCCACGGGCAAGGTGTACACAGTATGCCCTGTTTCTCTAACTCCAGTCTTTGAGCTAGTCCCGGCCTTTCAAACCCCCGATCTGTTTTCTGGCCCCCCTTCCTGTTTTCTGACCCCTCGCGCTGTTTGTTCAACCCCCAAACCCTGTTTTCCTGACCCTCGCCTTCCGACTCGCGCGGGCCTGCGGATGGGGGGCCTGCATGTCCCCAAGTCCCCTCCTTTTTTGAGCAATCCATGCTTGCCGTGAAAAGCATCATCTCATTGCTACGTTTGCAGTGACGGTGAGTTTTGGGGATCATTTGGGCTGCGCCCCTCCCCCCCTCCCTCCCCCCAAACCCCTGCTTCTGTTAACAGTTCATGCGCACCGCCAAGAACATCATGTCATATCATGTCATCACTCCGTTTGCAGCAAGAGAGTGTTTTGCATGATGCTGATATTGTTTACGAATAAGGGTGTGCCCGTCTCCCCCCTCCCCCGCTTTTTTGAGCAATCCATGCTTGCCGTGAAAATCATCATGTCATTGCTATGTTTGCAGTGAGGGAGGGTCGTGCGATTACGCGGATCATTTTGTAGCAAGTGGGGGGGGGTGTGCGCCCCCCCCCCCCCTACGACCCCCCCGCTTGTTTTGAGCACTTCATGCGTGCCACCATGAACAGCATGTCATTACTACGTTTGCAGCAATGGAGGGTTTTGCGGATCATATTGTTTGCGGCGAATGGGGAGTCTGCAGGCCCCCCCCCCCGCGGTGTTTTTCAGCAATCCATGCTTGCCGTGAAAAGCATCATGTCATTGCTATGTTTATAGAAAAGGAGGGTTTTGCTGTTCTTTTTGTTGGCAAGTGGGAATGGCTGCGCCCCCCCAACCCTCTCCGCTTCTTTTAGCCGTACCGCTATTGGCAGCAAGGGAGGGTTTTGCATCATATTGTTTGCCAATGAGGGGTCTGCATCCCCCCCACCTTGTTAAGGGTACGGTAGGTCGGCGTGGTAGTTTTCCTTAGGTTTGGAACCTAGTAAACACAAGCTTCCGCCGCGGTGGGCAGCCATGAAAGGGCAAACGGAGGGCAGGGGTGCCAGCTGGGCGCCCGCTGTACCATTCTGGAAACTCTCGTTAGCGGACATGTACTACTATTCCATAGAATTCTTACTAGCGCACATGTGGGAACTATTTCAGAAGTTCTGTTTAGCGGACATGTACTAATATTCCAAGAAAGAATTATTAACGACATGTACTACTATTCCAGCAACTTATTCGCGGACTTGTAGGATGAATTCAAACAAATATTCTTAGTGGACATGCTCTTTTGCTCAAGAAACCTACAGCCAGACACATTTTTGAGGGGTGGTGAAGAGGTCGGAGTAGCAGTTTCAGCGGATCAGAAAAACAGGTTCAGGGGGTGGGAAAGCAGGTTCATGGGTGGAAACAAAACGGACGATGGGCGAGAAAAAGCGCAAATGCTACACGGGAGAACGCAGCGCCCAGGGGCCTTTTACGGGCCAAGCAAAGAACTCTGTCCTTGCGCTTCTGCTATGGCTATCCGTATGGCATTTGCCCAACAATTGGCTGTGCAGTCATGCATCTTTAAACACATGTGGGATTCCTCGGCCTTAAGCCATAAATGGAAGCGGATCACCAACCGCCATGTCCACATTCGCTAAAACAACAGGTTGCCCGATTTCATTAAATCTGCGAAGAAGCAGGCTGTGGAACCTCTCCGCCGGTGAGGCATTGAAGGAGTGATCATGCTTATCATAGTGAACTTGTTGCCAGGTTTTCAGCAATGCATGTGCAGGCAGATGCATCATATGTTGTTCCCTTCCGCAACTTTGGCGTGGAAACTTCAGGTTTCAGAGTGCCTGACCTTGAGTTTCCAAACAGCTGCCGAGTAAAGACACGTTTGTGGGAAGCGTCTGTTATGGTCGAGCGTGCAGACTCTGAGCCGGCTAACATTTTCGCTCGAGCATTTCTTCAGAGTGTGTCTTGAAGTTGTTTGCTTGCAGTGTCCACTCTGCTCGCCGCAATGCAGCACAGCGGCAGGCACCCAGCTGATGTCACAGCTCATGCAGAAGACGGCGGCTGCTGCGAAGCAGATGCTGCAAGCATCACAGACGACCCATCATCAGAAATGACATCAGCTGATGGCGAGGCGGATGCCGCAAACATCACCGCAGAGAGCACATCACCAGAAATGAAGACTTCAGCAACACAGAACGAGGTCAGTATGAGGTCAGTCGCGTGTCACATAACAGCCACAAAGAAATGTGCGTGCAGAGAACTCTGACTCGCTGGGAGTCTGAGTACCAGAAGCTGGAGCTCCTGCCGGAGTCATCCGTGGGCTCGACCCGGCTGCAAAGATGCGTTGTGGGGTGGCAGTTTAGGTGGTGCATCGCTTCGGTGATCTTGCTCAACATGGCTGTGATTTCTGTGGTGGAAAGTGTGTGGGAGTGGGACCACTTTGCTAAACTGTGTTGGAACTTAGTACCTTCTAGCTTATTTTAAAGTAAGCTACGGTATAACATGGTAAATTCAGTAGATTGCAGTTTAGGTTGCTCAAGTGACCTACATGGTTGAGCGTCTTGCCCTCCTGTTCTACATGGGAGAGTGGGTCCTTCGAGTGCTCGCCGGCCAGCTGCGCACTCATCTGTGGTGGATGCTACTGGATGCAGTGCTCATCCTGATTGGTGCCGTTGCGCTTATACCCAATCTGCTGTGTGTCTCCGAGGACGTATGATCAGCGTTTCAGCGATGGTTGCTGGTATTACGCCTGCTCCGTATGCTGAAGCTAGTGCGAGTTTCAAAAGAAGAGCGACGCTTCAATGCAATGTGGATTCTCTTTGATGGGATGACTTTTGCCTTGCCCAAAATAACGCAGCTACTGTCTTCGTTGCGATGATCTTGGCTGTGTTTGCTGGCTTGGTCACAGCGAGAAATTTGACACGTTGCCCAGGGCAATGCTTTCACTGGTGCAGTTCCTGTCCGGCGGCAGTGTAGCAGAACTGTACTATCCACTTATGGCCAAGCCCGAGCTCGGTTTGATTTTCATGCCCCTTTTGATCATAGTAACACTTGAGCTTATGAGCTTGGTGCCTGCGATCCTTTTCGAGAACAACGACAGAGAAAAAGAGCGAAAACGGATTCAAGCGCACGAAGTCTTTCAGAAGCTCACGGAACAGCTTGAACATATTTTTCAGATGGAGGGGCTTGTTGAACTCGACCGCCGCAAGGTCCTGATGACAGCAGCCAGTTTCAAGAACACGGCCCTTGGCGACTTCAACTTGCCAGACATTTTTGACATCTTGGCCAGCAGACTTTGTCCCTATCAACAGGATCCAACGCTGTCAGTACAGGAGCTTCTCAACGCAGTGATCGACATGTATGTATTCAACGTGCCTCTGTCCACTGGAGAGATGCTCGCGCAGTTGCGCCCACCGCCCCCTCACATTCTCCGGGTGGAGGCCGATGTTCTCCGAATGGAGGCCCGTTTGAATGTTATGGACGTGAAGATCAACTTCATCCTAAGCTCGTCTCGTGAAGGAGGGCTGATACGCATGTGAGCCATTTCTACTAATGCTCTTTCATTAACAAAAAAAACTGCATGTGGCGTTCGCTGGAAAGCGAGGTGCCTGCGTGTGCCCACTGCCTGTGTCATGCGGGCCCTGTTGCGCCTTCCTGGAGGTTTCTTACCACTCAATGGTGGCTTTTTCCACGTTCAGGTAGGCCGGAGCGACTGTACTTTACAACTGCGGCTGCCACTGCACAGTTGCAAAGCGAGAAAAGCATGGTACTCTCAGTCAGTCCCTTTTTCTTTCCTTTGGCCTTGCCTCCTAAGAAGGCAGATCAATACATTCCTCTTCCTTTCTACTTGTTGAAAGGCTGGCGCCAGAATGCGGGAAGGGGAAAAGGTGGCGAAGATATACTCTGCCAAAATCTGTCAAAGACAACGTGTAGCCTCGCTGGGGTCTGTCCTCTCTTGCTGTGACCCCTACCACGAGCCTGAGAGAATCATCTCTTCTGATGGAAGGATTCCGCGCCCATGCCTGATGCAGCAGGTCGGCGATGCTGCAGCCTGAAGGCCAATCTGCCGCGGAGTAGTTGATCCCACAAGAGCTGTTGTTGTCAAACTATACTGTGCTGTTCTTTTACCAAAAGCTGGGGACGCTCTCCTCGACAACCATGTGATTCGAGTTTGTTTCCCCGGTTGGAAGCTTCAACCTTGGGGGTGGCTCGAACTGGCCAACAGACGCCCGTGCAACTTCTAGCAACGACGATGCCAAGCGACACAAAGAGCGGGCCTTTTTGACAACCCCACTCCGTTGATGACCATGTGACCTTCAGAGGTTCGAAGTTTCAGAGACCCGGGATCGCCAGAAAGCTCTTGTTGCACATGTCATTGCACGGGGCAAATAAGGTTCGAAGGTTGTTGTTTGGAAGTAGCGTTGAAGCTGGTTCCTACCCTGCCTGGAACCACCTTCCCTTCAACGCCACTAACAGACTGCTTCATAAGCTATATGACATGGTGCCAAAACTGGTCTGTTTGATGGTGTTTTCTCTTCGCACTGCCATATTTTTTTAAGTGAAAGAGCCGTGGCTTGCTCTCGTCTTCCTGAGGTTTGTGCTCACGTCTGCCATTGCAATTGCTCAGGTCGGTCTTGCAAAGTTGTCATCCTGATGCCGCGACCTTTGAGTGAGGGCTCTCGATTTGTTAGGTTGGCAGAGTGCTCATGTCTGCCATTGCAATTGCTCGAGTGCTCATGTCTGTGAGGGTTTGTGGTTTTAGGTTTGCCTTGACTTGTTAGGCTGGCAGAGTGCTCACGTCGCCACTCATTTGCAACATGATTCAGTTTCGGAAGCCCAGTGCCTCCGATTGCATGGCTGCTCGCTGGCTAAGGTACCCTGCAGAGAAGAGCAACGCATGAGGAGAGTGGTGGTGCTTCTGCCTACAGCTGCATCCTTGGAAGATCAGTGGGATGGGCAGCGGCTCTGGCGAGGAGAGTCTTCAGATTTCGCCGCGAACTCGAGCTCTCGCGTGGAGCGTCTTCACATTTTGCTTTGAACTCGAGCTCTGGCTTGAAGAGTCCTCACATTTTGCTGGCTTGGGAGCTTTTTGGCTTCTTGGTTTTCTGACTTTTTGGCTTCTTGGCCTTTTGATTTTTTGGACTACGAGCTTCTTGGATTTCTGTCTTGGCTTTCTGGCTTCTTGGCTCCTCTGACTTTCTGGACCTTCCTCATCTTCTAGCTTCTCTCGCCGGAGCGAAAACGTTTCTGACACCTGGTTTTTCAACTTGAAAAATTGTAGACCCTTCACATGCCGGAAGACCATAACCAGCAAGGTCTGAGGTGCTTGGCATCATGTAAGCCAGCGGCGTCATTGCATATGCCTCGAAACCAGGCTCGCCTGGAGCGTGGGGAAAGCACAGGCAAAAATTAAAACATGAAGCTTTTGCTCAGTCTAACAACCATTGCCCAAGCAGTCTACTGCGATTTAAAATGCAGAGCGGGCCACCTTTGCACAAGCACGGACGAAAATGAACACATGCAAATTATTTGCTCAGTCAACAACGAGGATCCCCCAAGCAGTCTGTTGCGCTTCAAAATCAAAAGCAGGGGGTTAGGGAGATTGCAGCCCTGGCCCTTTGCAAAAGCAGGGACAAAAACTGAAAGCATGTAGGTCTTTACTCAGTCTAACAGCGATCCCCCAAGCAGCCTGCCTCGCTTTAAAGTGAAAAGCAGGGGGGTTGGGCGGGCGCAGCCCCCCCAATCTGCAGGTCTCATTTTGTACGTCTCCACGTTTGGCCTCAGAATCGAACTCCTGTCTGGAGCGCTCTTTCATTTTGCCTTCAAATCGAGCTCTTGCTTGGAACGTCCATGCATTTTGAATTGGAATCGAGCGCTCACATGGAGCATCTGCACATTTTACTTGAACATCAATCTCTCACGCGTAGCGCCCTCGCATTTTGCATCAAAATTGAGCTCTCGCTTGAAGCGTCCTCACATTTTGCATCAGAGTCGCGCTTTCGCGTGGAACGTGCTTGCATGTTGCTGCGGAATCGGGCCCGCGCTTGGAGAGTCTTCACATTTGGCATCGGATCAAGCTCTCGCATGGAGCGTCCGCACATTTTGAAGGATCGGAATCAAGCTCTCGCATAGAGAGTCCTCAAATGCCTCAAAATCGAGCTCGCGTCCTCGTTTTCCAGCCCCCCAAGCCAAAACAAAGAGTCAACGCAAAGAAAAGGTACCAACCAAGAACCACAGGAACAGGACAGCCTGGGGCACCGTTTCCTGTGTTTACCGCCGTCGGCTCCTGCTCCTAATCAGCTGAGGTCCTTTCGGTCGCTGCGTCAACTGCGCAGGTTGCTGAGTGCTGAGATCGAACCCAAACTTGGCAGGTTTCGATGAATTAGCATAATAAGATATGGCCTGAAGACCAGGCCGACAATGGTGACTTGAAGAAATCCTTCAGGGCACATCAGATAAGGATGTATTGGGATGCTCATGCAGAGCACTTTTACAGCCTGTCCTGCAAAATTGGAGAAGAACTGACAGACGCTTCACATTACACAAGTTACTTGTATGCTGTGGACAGACCACACTGGAGCTCCTCGGGCTTCATGGAAGTTTGCAGTCTGCTGATGTGACTTTGATTGCAGATTGAATTTGGTATGCAGGGTTCTGGAGGTTTGTTGTCTCACCACGCCCTTGCTGTCCGGCCCTTGAATTAAGACAGTTGAAACGCAAGCATGAAGGCGGCGTGTTCGATACCACACGCTAGTATTGACATCAGCACGGCAAAATGCCATGACTCAGCTCAGCCATGACCTGAAAGCAGCCCACTCCATGGCCACATTTGACCGAACTGCCCCTGTCCACCTGGGCCGTCAGCATGGCTGAGAAAGAGAAGAAAGAAAAGAAGGAGAAGAAGGAGAAGGATTCCAAAGAAAAGAAAGAGAAAAAGGATGACAAAGAGGACAAGAAGGAAAAGAAGGATAAGAAGGCTGACGGGGTACGGAGAGATGCGAGCAAGCAATGTTCCGCGATAGTGGGTTGTTGGAGTTCTATGCAAAAGGAGAAGCGACGAGATGAAGGCGGTCTAGACCTATGGTCATCCACTGTTGACACTACGGGTGCCAATGCCTACGGTGCCAATGCCTACGGCGGCCCCAAGGCTGCGAGAAACAAAACCGCTGTTAAGTCTTCAATGCTTTGCTTATGCTTCGTGTCTCGCTGACCCATATGTTGGAAGCTAGGCGCCACAAGACAAACGAGAAAAAGAGATGGCCAGGGAGAAGGAGACCAAGAAGGCGATTCTGCACAAGTACGTATCAGATCTTTAGCCGCGTGCATGATAGCACAGCTACGCCTACTGTGTGCGCAGTTATGCACTATGTTGGCTCAGGCGGCATACCTGCGCATGTGCAATAAGTGAGCCTGCAAGAGTGGGAGGGCTTTGGTGCCTCTCACCAACGATTGCATGCCGTACCAAGATCAGCAGGGTCCTTGAAGTTCGTTGCGGTGCTGATGGAGAGTCTGTCTGGACAATGGCTGACTGCACGACTGAATGGGCTGGCAAAGCACAGACAGAACTGTGTAACTGCATCGTTCAGATTGTTGTATTTTGCACTACACCTTCTTATGCTCCCTGCAGTTTGTGCTTGGAGTCGAGACTGACAGGCTGATCCCCTTTGCAGATTTAGGTTTGGATGTCTGGGAGGACGCAGAGACGAAGAACCTCATAGGAGTCAGCGACGTGATCCAAGAAACGCTCAACAAACAGAAGGAGGCTTCGATCTTTTTGTAGTAGCTCAGCTAGTGCCGAGGGAAATCAGTGTCATGTCCAAACAGACCGCAAGCACAGGCTAAGAAGGAGGAAGCCAGGTGCTCCTGCTTTGGGGTTTGCATTGAGAAGCAGAGCTGCCACTGTACATGACTGTACAAGGAAGGAGGCAGAAAAGCGGAACAAGGCAATAAAAGCAGCGCGAAAGGCTGCCTCGAGCTCCTTTGCAGCTTACCTGCAGCCCATTTTGGTGCCAGGAACAAGAATCAAAAGATGAAGCCGATGATTACCAGATCATGGCAATCCTTGCGTGGTTTCTGCGCAAACCGAAGTGACCCCGGGGCAACATTGAAACATGCTGCAAAGCATTGCAGGACAAAAGTGGTCTTGGGAACTTCATGGCCTGAAGCCCAGCTGAAGCCCAGCGCAGTTTTCCAGCAGCCTGGGCTCGTCTCCTTGACCCCTCCCGACACATCTCCGACAGTTCCACAAGTGTTCCACATCTTTCAACTTCTTTCAAACTCTTTCAAGCCATGCACGTCCAAATAAGATAGCGCAGCAGCGCATGCCCTTTCATGGTGTGGGTTTTGAGGAAAAAGGCGACGTCATGGAGATCATGAAGAACACAGTGCAAACAGCTGTGTCACAAGCAGGCTCACGTTGTCAGCGATGTCCTCAGCTGTTTGAGCGTCACGATGTCTGAGACCTTTAGACGATCTGCGGCTCGCGTTTGCCAATGAGGGTGTCAACCAGAACGGTTATGGATGACAAGCTCTACACCAATGCACCAGCCAAATTTGAATCCCTGGGTGATTTGAAGGCCTTTCGCTGCATGAGTTGATACCCTTGTAAGTAGCTTTCAGTGGAGACGCCGCAGGCTGTGAAGGGCTTCATCTTCATCCGAGGGCCAAAAGAGGTTGCGGCTTCTGACATGACTGAGAGGGTGTATTGATTGATGCGAGCCAGGAGCCGGGAGTCAAGCTGACTCTGCAGCGGCCAGCAACGGTCTACGTGGCCTTGAGCAAGGCTCCAAACGAGGCCCATACTGCTTCGTGCCCGTCATCTTAGGTGCGAAGATGACATGTTGGCTGCATACAGGGGAGCCTGTTGGAGCGAAACTGCTGGCACATACTTGCGGATATGCTTTGCCTAAAGATGAGTTGTAACACTGTTTGTGTGGCAAATGTTCAATGTGAACTCACATGCTCTCTGATGTCTGAAAGTCTTTCTCGGCACTCACGTCGCAAAGGATGCCGCAGGTGACTAGAACGATTCAGAGCATGATGCATGCCATTGCATGCCACAACCAGTTGAGATCGTCTTAAGATAAGCCCATGCTATGATCATGGAAGGTTTGTGCTTCACCCCGGGCGTAAGCCAAGCTGGCGACACCTTGCCTGCCAGCCCCAAGGCTGAAACAACTAGCATGGACGCAGCCCGCAACGAGCACCAAGTCGATGCACGAACGAACCCACCCCAAATCGGCACGACAAAACAAAGATTCAAGCCACCAAGCTTGGCTGAAGGAGGCACCGGTGAGGTGTTACGTTTTGCAGTTGTTGAACTATTGGGTTCATGCCCTATAGTCTTGTAAGTTTCTGTGCGTTCAGGCTTCAGAGGGTTCCGTAGTTTTGTTGTTGCAGTTCTTGTGCTTCTGGAGTCTAAGGTTCTCAGGATTTGGTTGCTCCAAGCATATCTGCTTCCAATGCATGGTTCTTCTGTCCAGAAACTTCAATGTTCAACAGTTTCAGTGTCTTTTCTGCGCTTGGGCTATCTGACTATCTGTGTTTGCAGCTGGTATGTTTCAAGGACTTGGCACGCTTTCCCTCCTCGTTACCCATCCCCACAACCCCTACCCAACCCCAAGCCCCCCGACCCTTCCAACCCTGCTAGATTTAGGCTAAGTTGAGCACTGAAGGATCTTCTAGAACATGCAAGCCTTTGAACCGGCCTTTCCAAGCAGGAAATGCTTGCATAGACACTAACACCCAAATCATGCACATATAAAATCCACAATTTTGATCGAACGCTTCATTCAAATCGATGAAGATGTCACTGACAGGATGATCCGTTTCTGAGGAGATGGGAGGCGGGAGATTGGCCATGGTGTTTCCAAGCTTAGAAGGGCTGAGGGATTAAGATGGACGGATAATCCATGATAATCCTATGTTCCAAGCCAGTTCGCGCTGGATTCCTGGGTGTTTTACAGACCTTCTCGCTAGACCCTGGACATCCCGCATATTGATGGACGCCTTTAAATCTCAGAGTTTCAATGCTGCTTTACTAGCAGGGTTCAATGGCAAAAGCGGCTATGTTTGATTCTCGTCGATGGACGGAGGCTTCAAATGCAGCACCTGATGCGGTTTTGCAATGTGAGGGTCTTCACAAGTTCATCAACAGCCCAAAGTTGCCTGGCGATCTAGAATTCTTCTGCTGGCACGGCCCCATGAGCCGCTTGAAAAATCAGCAGCTGTTCCAACCACTCTCCTTGACGGCCATTGCACAAAGTCACCTTGTTCGGCATAGACTGCTCCCATGACGAATCCACGCCGCCCCCGATATCACCGGGAAAAACTTCGTGGATTTTCAGCATGCGCTCAAAGTGGTGCAACTGCCCAAGCCGCTTCCTTCCTCAAATCGAACTCGATTAAGAGAGTTCGCCAGCTTGGCTTGGCAAAGCCCTGCACAACGGCCTCCAACCGCCGTGGATCGTCACTGGCTGCGCTGCCAGCAGAAAATGGCAGTGCACCATGCAAAAAAACCGTGAGCTGGGGCGTGGTTTCACAACAACAAGTGGGATCCTGATTGAATTTGATAAGTTTTGAACTCAGCTTTGCCGGCAATCAAGCACCTTGCAGGAACGGGTGGAAGTTTACCTGTAATGGTCTATTCTGCACCAATTCTTATGAAGCCGTTGTATAGAGTGAGGGACCGAGCTATGCAAATTGAGTGTAAGCAGGTTTCGAATGGAATTTAAAAGACCATCCAAAACAAGACCTCGGAATGCCGTCTATACATAATCAACGCCTGTCACAGATTGACTGGGCGTAATAATTTTCATAGACATTTTTGTAGTGGCACATGTTTGCCATGTCCTTCAGTGTGCTGCGTCATAGTTTTGATAGCTCTTGTGGATCGACTTGCGCAACATACGCAAAGTTGTCCACGTAGCGTCGGCGCTCGAGAGAGCAGCTGTAAGCCACGCCTCATGAAGAAACAGGGGTCATCTATGAATGATGAAGATTTCGCCGGGCTCAGCATAAATTGCTTCCATCCAGACACGTGTGGAATCTGCGATGGAATCTAAGAGGAATCCTATTGGGCTTCTTTATTTTCATGTAGTTGTAGCGTGTATTCAGAAGAATTCCAGGGCAATCCAGGAATCGGTGGGATCCTACTTGATTTTGACTAATGCTAGAGATCGACTTTCGCAGGAACCTGATTGAACTAGGAATTTAGTCTTTTTATCGAATAAGCGAGCCGCCGAGCCAAGACCTGCAACCGATTGAGTCGTTTCAGTTGTTCGGGGCCTCTCCTCTGAAACTCCTCGTTTCATTGGCATGGCAACTGTGACAAGCATCTTTACGCGCGAAACATTGTTTTCCCGGTGCTTTTTGGGGGAAGCCTTGTGTAATGAGCAATTAAGTCACATCTTCTTCAGTGAGAGCGTTTGATCAAGGATGTATAGCTTCTAGGACGACCTCAGCATGCCCAACCAGCAGTCGGGTGATGCTCTTCCGGTCTAGTGTCCTTCCTAGTCTGGACAGCGACGCTGCATCCAGGTTCAAACATGCTCGTGAGATAATTCGCGGTAATCGCTGAAGCTGAATCTGACCATAGCACTTGGAGAAGTTCACTGTATGAGTCAATCTTCTTGCCTCGTCTGTTGCTCGGATTTCCGTCTGGCATCGTCTGGCATTGTTGTCCAGCCGGCAACCACTAGGCAGTGGGTACCGACTTCAATGTGTGCCTCTGCTGCACTTCTGCTCGGCTTCCCACAGGGCCAGTTCTGGCCAATGGTGGAATGAATTCCAGGCCTGAGTTCCCCGACGACATCGCGCCCGTACATGAGGTCAGAAGGAAGGCCACTGAGAGAATGCCTTCAACGTAGTTCAGGGAACATTCCTTGTGTTCAACTTTATCAGCGGCATAGGTGTTCTCCGATCCAGACAACAGAAATATCGAAGTGCCAAAGCCGCCTTCCGGCCTGGAAACCTGCCTTGTCTTCGTTTGCAGCTAAGCACTTTCAACCTTCAATGCAGCTTTGCAGGGAAGCAATGGATTTAACTCGCACAAAGGTCATGCCAGATTTTCACGCTGACCTGTATGGCGAGGCAGAGTCCTCTTCCCTGCAACAAGATTCAATACTGAATGTTGCTACAGGCGAAGCTGTCCGAAGAAGAGCTTCAAGAAAAGCCGCTTCCTAAGCCCAACCCACTGGCCGTTGGCAAGCTGCCGTTGCAAGATTCGCATCTTGAATTAGTTTGAACCCAGTGGACGCAGGGAGCGTGCAGAAGCTGCTGCCAGGTGCTTTTGACTTTTTGCTTTTCGAAGTTTTTTCATGATCTTCACTCCCATCACGTTTTGATGCCTGCGCAGGCGTGCCGGCAGGGCTTCTGCATCCAGCTCTGCCAAGGACATCCCTGGACAAGTGTCCACAGGGATTGGGCCATCTCATTCAGTATGTACCGGCAGAGCCGTACTTTCAGGATGGTGGTTTGGAACCTCGCACTTTTCAGCGCCTAGGAACACATGTCACTGACTGCAACAGCGGTTGTCTGAGAAGGGAAGAGCAGTCCCAGGAACATGTCCAGACAGTGGCAAGCCCATGAAGCCCACCTTTAGCGCCCGTGAAGGGCACTCACCCTTATGACATACGCCAGTAGAAGCTCCTACTCAAAACATGATGCAACCTTGCAGCAGATTCCTGCATTTCAAACTTGTTGCAGGAAGCGCCGTCCAAAGCTGATGAGCTCGAGGAACCCTGGCCTAGCCCTTCTTTTTCTTGCAAGAAACGTTCCTCCAGTCTGGGCCAGGCGATCCTAAAGAAAGTTGAGGCAGGCGAAAAGCTGTCAAACAAGGACAGCGTGCCCCAACTGACAGAAAGTTTATCATGCGTGCACAACCAGACACGCTCTGCATGAGATGCGCTTGTGTTAATCGGAGCGAAGCGGTGATCAAGCTGTGGAGGAAAAGAGAGCCTATGACAGGCATCAGGAAAAGCCAAGGCCTTATTTCACGCTTTGATTTCATATCTCTTGCCTCATGGAAGCTGCCCATCTTGTAATGGCAGCTATCATTAAGGAATGTCGTGTACAAGAACGAAGATGACGAGCCAGTCGGTGGCCTGAACGCTTTCAGCATCATCCTTGAGGCACATTCTTCTCACTCGCGTCGGACACTGGAGTGTTCATGGAAGATTCCAGGGTGGCAAAAATGAGCCGCCGCCTTCCGGCGACGCGTTCGTCTGCAACAACTTCACGCTCTCTGCGCCGAAGCAGACATTGTTTGACAACGTCAAGTCCTCAGTTGTGAGGTTAGACAGGGTGACATTGTCAGTCAAGTTGCCACAGAGGCCAGCATTACCATCGTCCAGGGCCATCGCTATGGCATCCTAGGGCCAAACGGCCAGGCCTGGACTCCTGGACTCTGACTTGAAATTTGTCATCACCAAAAGTCTGTGAGGGCAAGACCACGCTTTTGCGCCACATAGCTGCGCGCGAGATGCCTTGGCCCAAGCTCAGCCAACGCCGTTCAGCTATTTTAACGGATCCTGAGCCCGCAGCCTTCTGCCCCAGCTTAGGGGCCCAGGCTCGTGCATCTTTAAGCACTCCTTGACAAGAGCCCCCAAGCCCTTTCAGCAAATCTTGGAGGCTGAAAACCAGGCCTTGGAGAGTTGAGTCGGGGCAAACTGTTGGAACCACTGAGGCCTGTGCCAGTGAACTGGGACGTCATTCTTGTGGAGCAGGAAGCCAAGGCAACAGACCGCTCTGCCGTTGAAGAAGTCCTCGCGGCGGACGTGAGGTGCGCTCAGGCTTCGCGAGGCCATTTGCTGGTCACTTGTGCATTGCCTGAGGGCCGCGGAGCTCATAAAAGCAGAAGAGGAGCTCCTCCAAAAGTTGGAGGCCTGGGTATGTGGCCGGGATACACATGGTGTTTGAGGATCGGGACGCTTCTCAAACAGGACATGGAGAAAGCGATGGAGGGTGGAGAAGAGGTTTCAGCAGAGGAAGTGGAGAGGATCCTGCGCAGCACATGGGGTTTGATACCGAAGAAACACCAGCAGTGTCCGTAGAGCCTGTTTTCGCAGGATGCGCTCCGATCTCGAAAACACATCCGCCGAGCTTGAGGCGGGGTGTGCCCTTCCTCGCGCTGCAGCAAACTGGCAAAGGCATGCATCAGCTATGCATGAGGCAATTGGCGCAGACTCAGCGGAAGCAAGAGCCGCTCTGACATGCTTGAGGGCTTGGAGTCCGCATCTACCCTGGACTTGCCCGACTGAGTACGCTCTCGCACGACTAAGGTGCGAAAAATCTTGTGCGGCCTTTGCCCCGGTGAGACTTGAAGACGTGAAGGCATTGGAATACTTCTGCTAGCCTAACAAACGTGGAGCTACGTGAGCTACCAAGCCAAGGCCTCGGGTTCACAAACGGACATCCAGATGAGGATCGCTTTTCAATGGACAGGCCCTGGTCCAGGGAGTTGCATCAGCATTGCAGCGCTTGGAGAAGAGTCTTTTTTTTTGGGCAGGCCAGTGGTGCAGTTCTCCGGAGGATGGCGAATGAGAATTAGTTTAGCGAAGGCAAGGTTTACCCAAGGATGGATCATTTCACTGAACCCGTCAGCGACAGTGAAAGTAAACAGTACTGTAAGTGACAGCTGCATGCGGAGCACAAGTGCTCCTACCTCTCCAGGGTTGTCAAGTTGCAGCCTTTACTGCTTGAGGGGGCGCTGAAGCTGTTCAGGCGCTGTTCTTACAGCCAAAGCTGCTCATGCTAGATGAGCCGACAAATCACTTGGATTTGGATGCAGTGCAGTCCTCAGGTTCTTCTTTGCAGCGGCCATAGCTGAAGATACCGTAACTTTGAGTGAGTGTTGTTGGCTGTTTGTCTTTTGGTTAGAGTATCTGATTATCTGGAGCACTTGGAGACATGAAACTTCATGCCAAGACAGCTGCGCACAGACAGAGCCGTAGGTTTTGTGGCTGGACACCTACCTGTCCGAGCACTATCCGCACTCTGTGGTTGTAGTGTCGCACGATGCCGACTTCCTCGATAGCATCTGCAACTCTGCCTGACCAGCTCATTTAGGCCTTAGGAAGAAGTGCGGTTTTTTATCGGTCATACGGGATGTGTAAAGGATGGACATTGGATTCGTGACGAAAGGTTTTTGATTGGAAGAGGAACTGAAAAGGATGACGCGCTCACCAAAATGATGACGTCAACACATACCCCGAAACTTAATTAGAAAACGACAACACATTGACCATCTTTCTAATGGACAGTAGCCCAGAATAGCCCAGACAACAAATAAAAACCGCACATCATGTGTATTGCGCACAAGTCAGATTTCTTTACAGACTGTTTGGAGGCTCATACCATAGAGGATTAGGTCTTGAGTGTAGAGTATAAGCAACGTTGTTGAGCGGTGCACGTTCTTCATGCGTTTGGTTAGCTGATCTCCGCGACACGCTGCCAGTTACTTCCAGCGGCCACCAACAGGCTGAGATGCACAGATCTGCGGATCCTTCGGCGGGTTTCCAGCTTTTGGAGCTCGGGCCGCGCATATACCAAGAATAAGAAGAGCAAATCTCCAAAAGAATCCCACTATTTGGCCGCAGAGTCGACGAGCAAGATAAGACAAGCCAGAATTCGGCCAAATCTTTTCCAATTGCAAGGCTGGAGGCTGCAGAAGTTAGTAGACATCTTAGCAGATATATAGATTCCCGAATACATGCAGCATGTGACATACCGACGCTGGCCTCTTCTGACAACTGCACGGCTTGCCTTCCATAGCCTTCTTATACTTCCCGCGTCTTGACCATCCGAAGCTTGTCTGCTCAGGTACAGACATTTTGCATTTGGAGGAGCCATGGACAGTCTTTCAAGCAAGTAAAACACGTATGGCAACACGTATTGCACATGTTCCAGGACAGAAAGCTTGTGCATTATCGTGGTGACTACACAGCCTTCAAGAAGATGCACCTGCAGAAGCGGGCGACGTTGGACAAAGAGTACAAAAAACAGCAGGACCCCCCCTCCCTCCCTGCTTCCATCTCCACTGCTCTTCCGATCCCTCCCTTCCTTGCTTCCTTCTCCTCAGACTCCTTATCCCCCCCCACTGTCCGCTGTGTCCGCTGTGGCCTTGGCTAGAGGACGAGCTCAAAGCTTTAAAGAAGAAGGGGAAGACCAAGGCCAAAAGACCAGAGATCTCTTGTCCAGTTCCGTGCGTTCACTGCTTGAGGGATGTGTTTGTCCTCCTGAGGATGAGGCTGAAGCGCTGGTGAAGGCTAAGTTTGGAATTGATGCCTTAGATGGACTTATGGAGAAGCAGAAGGACTATGTCGTAAAATTCAAGTTCACGGGCCATGGAATGGACAGATCTCTTGGCCTGAATGTCTCTGACGTTGCTTTCAGCTACAATGGGAAAGAGCCTTGGCTTCTCGAAGAAGTTGAGATGGGCGTGGACTGTGGATCGCGCATTGCAATAGTTGGCCCTAACGGTGCCGGAAAGTCCACCCTCCTAAACCTGATGATGCAACACTTGGAGCCCTGCTCTGGTGATGTCACCGTGTCAAAGGGGATTCGTATTCGTCAATACCACCAGCATTTTGAAGAGCTTTTGCCCTTAGATAAGACTGGTGTGGAGTACCTTTCCGATGAGTTCAACCTTGGCCCACCAGAGAAAGCGCGTGCTGTGCTAGGACAGTTTGGTCTTCCAGGAAGCTCCCACTTCACCAAAATCGGGAATTTGTCAGGAGGCCAGAAGGCTCGTGTGGCTTTTGCAGCATTGATGCTCATGGAGCCACACATCATCATCTTGGACGAGCCTACCAATCATTTGGACATCGAGTCTGTCGAAGCCCTGACCACGGCCATTTCCAACTTTAATGGTGGCTTGGTACTGGTAAGCCATGATGCCCGATTGATCACTGAAGTTGACTGTGAGCTCTGGGTTTGCGAAGATGGCGGTTGCTACCGTTTCGAGAAGGATTTTGACGGTTACAGGGACAAAGTCTTGCACCAGCTTGAAGAACGTCAGGCCGAAGTGGAGCGGATGGAGCAAAAACGCCGTGAAGAGAGGGCGAAGAAGCGCGCGAAGCACGTCTCAGAAGAGCAGCTTAAGCTCGCCAAAGATCGGAAGTCCGCGGAGGTAGCTAAGCAAAAGCAAGAGCAGGCAAGCGCTGTTGCCAAGCCGAGCGAGCCCAAGGAGGCCGCATCTGAAATCGCTTTTTGTATGGTGAAAGGGGCCTTCCAGGTCGAATGTGATGTCAGCTGACTGTAGAACCTGGTGCCAGAAACCACAAATGGGTGTGTGCCAAAATGATTGTCCTGTAATAAACCCGTTACATAGCCGTTTATGGGGCAGAGAATAGTTTTTGCGACAAACCTCCCGAACACAGAAACCATGAAAGAACGCGACAGAGGGTATATAACATGCTGGCGTTTCAAGGGGTGTGTAACAGCGGGTCCGGGGACCGGAACAACACGGGGTTTCGGCAGAAGTCTTTTGCATCAGTAGTCATTGCAGCGTTTGAGGGCTTCGAGTCAAGTTCAGTCGGTCCTATCAACATGCGGCCATGTGTCCAATCTGTAGGCTTTTATGTAGGCCTGGGAGGGCTCATAACTCGTGGCAGTCAACGAGAGGAAGATGATGAGGATGATTGAGGACGTGAAGCAGTGACAGCTGCGAAAGACAGCAGGCTTGGATCAAGTTGCAGGAGCCCAGGAATCTGGACTCTGCCCAACTGCCTCGATTCTCCAACGTCGAGTTTCACTGTTTTGTGCAGGTTGGAAGCGTGAGAGATTTGCGCTACTGAAAAGAGCGGAAGCCTCGGGCCTAGGAATCCTCAAGGAAGCGGCCAAGAGTCAGGCTTACCCTGGCAGAGTTGTGCACAGACGCAAGCATAGCAGTAGCATTGCTGGGCGATGTTGGGGAGCAGGAGCATCAGGAGGGTCAGGCCATCTTGCGCCAAGTGCCTTTTGTAGCGCCGATCGGCGTCCACAAAAGGGAAGACGTACTGAATCATGTATTGCGGTACATAAGTTGTACTGTTGGACGATTCCTTGCTGCTCTCGTGTGTTCCACCGCCCCAGCCATGTGTACATATCACTTTCCTTCTGATTGCAACTGTTGACAATGACTATACGGGCTTCCATCGTAATTTAACTGCTAGCGCGAGGACCGCCTTGGCAAGCGTGGCCGGGAGGGAGCAGTCAGTTTGAAGGGGTGCAAAGCAGGTCCCCTGGTCTCAGCCTCCCCAAGAAGGACGCAAAAACCGCATCAAATCAAAATTCTCGCCACTTGTTGGTTCCCTGGAAGTAGATCAAGGCGTCCCAGGCCTCTGGCCTCTGCAGATTTAGGGGCGGTAGAGGTGTGACTTGGGCAGGATGTCTCATATGCTTCTTATGGGAAACGTGTACCCCATGCACCCATGCCTTTTTTCCACCTGTCCCTCAGCGTCCGCAGCCAAATGGGCAATTTCATGCTTTGCCGGGTTTGAGCTGAAAGCAGTGTGTACACATGGGGATTAGCGTTTTCTGGTGTTCAAATCTCCTGCTAATGTGTATTCTTTCCAATCCAAGTGCCTACGAATTCTCACCGAGTCGGGTGTGCCTGCAGAGCAGACCAACTTCGTCTCATCATGCCATCGTGTCAACTTCCCTGTTAGTGTGACCAGCGTATGCATTGCTCGCAGTATGTCTGCTGTGACATGCTTGTGCCAGCCTGAGATTCCTGGCTTGCAGCCAGAACCGTGTAGCCTCAGACGTGACAAGCCCACAGAACTTGATCCTTGAGGGCCAGTGTTACTATAGACCGCAGTCTCACCTTCATCAAAAGAAGCTTACTTTGCAATCATTTTGCTATGTTTGGCTTGTTTGCCTTCGAGCCAGGCGCCCAAACATGCAAGAACCGAGTAGACTTTCAGCTTCAGCCTAGAATGGTCAGCAGCGTGATGCGTGCTTGACAGCAGCCCGGTGTGCCTCCAGTGACGCCAGGCCGTTGAGTGTGTGAAGGGATCCAAACCTGATTTCAACAATGTTGTCTTGCGTTCTGCCTAGCCGCATCGTCAAAGCACAGCTGTGTAATGCAAACGAAGGCATGCAGCAGAACAGCCTTTTTTTGTGTTCACCGTGGACAGCTTTGAAAATATTGAACGATATATAGGTGCAGCTGGAATGATAAGCAGCTGATATTGAACAGTGGTGTACGCTATGATTGAATCATCTGACCTGAAAAATGATTGTGCCGGAGCAGCTACCATGTGAACCTGCCTCTGCCTTTCGTGGTTCCACCGTAGCTGCTCTCAGTGTTTTTTTTTTGGAGCGTTCGGATTATCAGAAGCGTGTCTGCCCGTCTTGTACCCCTCCATTATCAGGAAGTCTTTGATGGGACAACGGACAAGAGCCCTTCTCCTTTTGGCAAGCTACATGCTTTTCACGGCGAATCAAACTATTGATTGGAACAGAAACGATCATGTATGCTTGCTCGTCTATTCTTGAAGCAGACAGCCTAACTTACTGCCATCGGAAATGCGATATAGATGCTGTGAAAATTCCAAAACGTCACATAGACAATCATACGAATCTGACAGGTCAGAGCCATGAGCGGAGGCCACCTGAGCAAGGCGTCCTGGCGTGCCGAGCTCACAGCCGAGGAAATCTGCTTCAAATTCGACGTGCCAGGAGTTTTTCGAGCTGGTGAAGAGCATCGGCGAGTCAAGATCGAAACAGGAGGAGGATAAGATTATTGTTGGCGAGATTGCTATCCTGAAGCAGCATCTCAGCGCTCCCAACATATCAGCGAAGAAGATGAAGGACTGTGGCTCGGGTTCGCAGGCCAAAGTATAGCCACACATAGACGACAAGATACGAGAAGACTTCGAGAGGCACTTCAAGCAGCAACCGCATCAAATCGCATCTTTCAGGCAACGCTATCAAAGCGAAGGGCTCCGAGATGCTCGGGGGGAAACTTCTCATTTGCTTCTCATTTGCGACTCTTATGGATTCTGGGTTGATCGAAGGCTAAAGACATTTGTAGTACGAGGCAGATCTATAATGCCTTGGGATTAATTCTACAGCTGAGCGCCTTTCTCTTGAGAGCATATTATCAGGTAGATGTTGGTTTGAAAGCCTGGCCGCCGCAAGTTTGTGAAAGTATGACAGACGAATGTAAGCTGAGACTGAAGGCGAGTGAGAAATGCAGGGAAGGGAGGCAATGTGGGGGCTACCTTTAAACATGATTCCGCGGGCTATGCTCAGCAGGCATCACGATGAAAGACTATCTGCGGGTCCCCGCGCTGGTTCTGTATGGGGAATTTTGGGAAACATGGGGAACGCCACCTGAAAAAGTGGGATGCCCAACCCCCATTTCAGGAAAAGATAGCTGGAAGCTGAAAAGGCAGTGGTGACCTTGCGTGAAGCTAGGGGTAGGAACCCGCTCACCAGCATGGGTGAATGAAGTTTAGAATTGTTGCTACCATTTTACTGAATCAGTGCTGCAGCAGTTTGTGTTGGTGCTTGGTAGGTCGGCTGACCGGTTCCCGGTTTGGCTCGGTTCGCCCCACTCTCCCAAGTGATAACCTTCCAACCTCACCTTGCGCCGCTGGTGGTGGTGGAGGTGGTGGTCGTGGAGGTGTTCGTGGTGCGGGTGGTCGGGGTGGCGTGGGCGGTTCCAGTTCATGTTTCCGATGCTGGGAGATTCTTCAGTTCCTAGTTCATGGCTAGGTTCTTCAAGGAAGAGATCCATCCGGCAGAAATTCCAAAGGAATAATTGCTGAAGCAGCCGAAGATTTTTCTTGAACGCTTATTATTTGGGACCCCATTGAATCATTTGCTGCATAGACGTGAAATTGCCAGAAGCTTTTCAAAATGCTTCGTGGAGAAGCCCCCCCTACCCCGCTACCCCACCGCTTAAGGATGCTTAAGGTAGGGGCCATGAAGCAATTGTTTCACACAAGCGCTTGGCACTTGCCTGTCATGTTGGCAACTTAGGCGCCGAGCGCAGGTTTCCAAAAATTTTTGTTGAGCCGGCCTAAACCTAAGGGTCGATCATTCCAGTCACCTTCTTGTAGGAAACCTGTGAGAGCATTGGGAGCGTCTCCTACAGATTCTCCTGTTGCTGAATATGTTGATCTCAAACTATGCCTGGCTCCAGGGCCCGTGCCTACAGCTGGGTTTCTTGTCATAATCTGGAAGAGAAATGGTTACGATCTGCACACGACAGGTGTTGCCAAACGCATGCGGGCCTCAATGATTTCATGAGACTCACCCGCCAATGCAATCCAAGACATGCATGTTTGAAGCTTTGACGTGTTCAGTACATGCGGGACGTTATCTGTTGTTGGGATGACATCCGCTGGCCAGACTTGCTTTGGTTGCTGCAAATGCAACGCTGTAAAAGACCTTGCTTGACTGTCTTATTGACAGACATACACGGTGCTTTGACACACCTTCTGCCTACTTGAGGAGTACATGATCCGAGCAGTGTATGCAGAGATGCTGGGTCATGATGCGTCCTTCGCTTACATACATGCTGTGAAGCTGACACACGAGAAGAACCTGTTCGCCAAGAGGACGGCTTAGATGAGCCCATGATGTATGTCATCTTGGCAGATGTGGTTTGGTGGCATGCATAGATTGGAATGCCCGCTTCAGCCAGGATTGGGTACTTGACCTGCAACCTCTTTCTACACCGAGACCATGAGCTCATGCTTCTGTTGATAAACACCATGCAGAGAGACTTGGGCAGCGCAAACCACATCGAAGCCACGAGTCTCAAGCTTTATGCTTTTGGGTGCTCGTCGTGCTCAACGCTGCTGCATTCTGTTGTGTAGTTTGCCACCTCTAAGACTTTCGAAGCTTGCCGCGTGGTCTCCTGTGAGGTTTGTTCTGCGCTTACCTCTGTCTGCCGATTAGCTCCTCAATTGCAAGGGATCTTCCGCGTCTGACTCGGATCTGATCATGGCCAGGGCAGTGTGTATCCTGTCAAGGTCAACTTGGAGATGATCCCAGCCATATCTCCGCTGGTCTTCAAGTTGCTCTCCCATCCCCAGGAGGTTCTTTCAACGCAGATGAAGTCGATCTCAAACTCGTGCCCACCTGAACAGGCTGTGCGGAAAAAGGCCGTAGTCGCAGTGCACAAGTTCTTCAAGATCGTGCCTGAAGCTGTCCTGGACCAAAAGGACACGGCGGGTTGCGGGCTGGATGGGTTGCGGACAGTCCTTTTGCGCGGTTCAGCACAGCCTGCATCCCCCAGTCCCCGAGCCTTTGTGCCTGCCAGGATCAAATACGGAAAGTCCTGTGTGATCCGGATCCTTCTGTCATGGGGGCGTCGCTTCATGTCCTCTGCGAGGCTAAGCCTGAGTGGAAAAGTATCACCATTGCAAAGTTTGGAGAGAATGGACAGGTTGCAAAAGCTCATCCAGCTTCGTGTAAAGATCTTGTGCCTTCATTCGTGAGCATTCTGAAGCGAGGCCCTGAGTTGTAATCACTGAAATTCAGGATGCCGTGTCCCGGCGAGTGCTGGCGAGTGCTTGAGAAGCCAAGGCAAATCACGGAACATCGGCTTCCTCGGGACTTTGACTATCACCGTATGCCTGCACCATGGCTCCAGGCTGGCTGCCAGTCTGGCAAGCCAGCAAACCAGCAAAACTCGCTGGGTGCAGGTGAAGCTACTTTCCATCTTGAGCATCCTGGGAACGGCTGACAAAGCAACCTCCGAACACATGTACGAAATTCTGCAGGCCACGTCTCAGGTGCAACTGGATCGTGCTTTATTGCTCCTTCTCACCACAGGAATGCATGCGTCGTGCAGACAGCGGAGTGAATGTTGGTTATGCCATCATCTACGAATGCGTGAAGCTTCTTGGCGTCAAAAATTAGCCTGCTCGGAATGCAGCACGCGGCTAGAAGCGGGTGGGGGCACTCGTGATGTGGTTGGTGCTGGTCAGGTGCATCACCAAGATCTTTCCCGACCATGGCTTGTTGGAGCTCGCTGCTTCCAACATTTCGAGGCCATCTGCAGCTTGAGGAACATTTAGGATGCACATGCTGTGAGCTTACAAGAACACTGCGTCCTATCTGCAGTAATTATTGGCATTGGTCTGATGTTTCATTGTTAACAGGCTTTGTCTCAGCAAAATTTGTGTCCAGGATGCGCATTGGGATTGCGCATGGTGCTGCTTATGGGAAAAGCACAAAGTATTCCAAGACGTCAAAGTATGGGAAGATGTCAAAGCATGCAAGCAAGGTAGACTTCACATTCATATTTGGTACACAGCTTAGGAATAGACACCAGTAGAGGCAAGCACAAAGGCAACTGGGTCAGCCAATGGTAGCTTTCGATCTGCATCTCGATGCGAGTTTTGTTGCCTGGGTGAAGGTTCATCTCCAGTGAGAACCACAACCTGCGGTACCTTGGTGTGACCGGCCTCGCTCAAATTGTTCAAGTCAACCCGCATTTCCGACAAGTTTGGTAGCACGCGATCTGTCTTGGCAGTCTGAAATCCGGGCATTCTGCCAGGCAGTATGCTGCTGAGCACCAGATGGTTGTCGTGGACTGCTTAGAGGATTCTCAGGGGCGGGGGTGAAGCGGATGAATCATGAGCAGTCACAAGCCGTGTGAAAGGCTTCCCTGTTTGCGCATGTCAAGCATCGGCAGGATCCAGATGAAACGTTGAAGAGGAAGACGTTGGACTTGTACTACAGACATGATTTCGAATGGCTGCGATGCGCTTTGATTTTGTGTCGATTGCTGCTAACATGATGTTTGGCCAGGCTCTTCAGAATGACGAATCCGCAGAATGTTGTCGTTGTAGTGCGCATCTTTTTCCTGTTGCAGCTTGCTGGCGCATCTGACGTGGAGCTGAGTTGAGGTGGACAAGCTCAATTTTCATCTCCGCACCAGCGTGGATTCAGCCTAAGATTGAGATTCACGAGTCATTGCGCTCAAGCTTGATGAAAAATTGGCCAAGGATGCTCATCTCCGCCGTGACCTGGTGCAGAAGATCACTTCTTTGGCGGAACGCTTTGCTCCAGACAACGAATGGTGCCCGGACATTGGCTGGCGATCTAGTAGGCAGACGTGGGAAGGCTAGGAGCAGAATCCACGCCATGTTTCATACCAAGAAGAACAAGGCAATGTAGGACGTCAGCATGTGCTCTTGACCTATGCAAGTAGTCATTCTAAGCTCCCTGTCTGGACTGCTGTGGGTTATTCTGAAAGCAACTTATGCTTGAATGAGCAAAAGGGCAGTACAAACTCCTCCAAACTGAGCACCTCTTGTGGGGCAAGCCGCGGCTGCCCTGTGCAGAACATGCAAAAAGAGCCTTCTGGAGCTAGTAGATGTCCTGGACGCCGCGTGCAGTAGATGATTTTCTAGGTACGTGAATACCATGAACACTGTCTTTGAGCTCAGCGGCGAGCTGGTGCCTGCCGAGACGGCATACAATCTGATGCCGTTGCCTGAGCTCATGCAACAGAGGAAACGTTAAATCCTCAGCAGTGTAGGGCTGAAACAAAAGGCAAACGAACCGGTAGTACTTCCACAGGATATCACCTGAACTGCATCATATGCCAGTGAGAAACGCCGAAGTCGGACTGCAGGAACCATGGACCCGAGTTGCGACGATCCCCCTGTATCCCTCTATCTCCCAAAGTAGCAAAACTTTTCACTTTGGTGAACATGCGATCCCCTTAGCCAAAGGCATGAACATGTACATGATGCCAACGCTTGACAAAATATTGATGATGTTAGCAACATGCCAATTTCTGCGCGGTCCGGGCATACGACACACCTCTGGAGTAGGGTGGGACTACTGTAGCCTTTGGTCAGTGTGATTTTGGGTCCAAGAGCTTGGACGTGAGAATTACCCTGTCCGGGAAGGTCGAGGGGGTTTGAAGCTGTTTTGGGGCAGTTGCCTGTTGTAGCCACTGCAGGATTCACGATGCCACAGATCTGCAACATATTTTCAACTCTGATGGTTTTGGAGTCCCGGCCGCCCAAGGCTACAGACTTGTCCTGCACGCAACAAAAACCAGTAGTGCCGCAGTCGCTTGCTCCTGGTCGCTGCATCGGGCACAGTGTCCTCGGTCAGTGCCGAGCAAGTCACTCTGAAAGGTGGGGCGGTGGGAGGTGCTTTTGCCTGGCAACATCTTTCCTTTGTGCTTTGCCTTGGAGTTCTTGTGTTTTTCTCGTTCAGAAGCACGGAACACATCCGGATCGGAAGACGGTGCATAGTCACGACCATAAATCATCGTAGTCCAACTTGCAGACGTTGACACCGCGTGATGGTGCATCGAGGCGATTGGTGGCTGAAGGTGCTGGGGAGGACGAGTCCGCTGACCAAGCCTTCCGCGTCTTCGCTGTCAATACGTACCTGAAGGCTGTAGCGGGCTGTATTGGCTATAGTGCCGATAGCCGGCATAGCATCTCTCTCTCTCTCTCTCTCTCTCCATGAGTTGAATGCACTCGCGCAATTCATGTGGCAACTGTGCAGCTGCTGGAAAAGTCCTCCTTGTCGGACATCCTGGTGCAGGCCAAGATATTGGCATGCATGGCAACTCCAACTCAGGGTAAGGAAGCATGTCCCTCGTTGATGCTGCAGGTGATTGCTTGGGTTCTCGGCGAGTATGCCAGACTTGCGAATGTGGATGGTTACACCATTGAAGACATTGCGGACTTGCTGTCCGAATGTATCGAGCGCCCGTATGCCCATCCATGTTACCACCCTGATCAAGCACGGTTCAGCGCAGGGGCAGTGGCAATTTGGGACGTCAGCCATGGCAGGTTCGAAGATCCAGCCACCAGAGGATTTCTTGCCTGGGCCCTGACAATCCAAAATCCTGTGACCTGGCAATGTCTGACATTCTCGGATCTGAGGTCACAGCGCTCATGAAATTGATTGGCCAGCATGGAGTCAAGAGCACCACGGCTGAGGACATCATCCGAAGGCCAGCTGATCGACAAAGCCGTGCCGTTGCCACTCTCAAATCCAAACTGCGCAGTTACCGTTCCTCGCGCATGACGGACCTGCAGCAGCGCTGCTATGAGCCCTCGCCCCGAGCATTGCAGCAAACGCATTTTGTAGGTTGTGCAAGATGTACCGAAATGTGCCTGTGGCTTTAGGTTTGAGCAGCTGCGTCAGTCGCCAGCTGTTATGCGCAAGGCACCATCTAATCTGACTAAGTTGGCAGTGAAGGTTGTTTGAGTTGTAGGGCTGTAATTTATATTCTCTTAGAAGTCCTCAGCTATGTTGCACGAAGGCAGACAGGACATGCTTCCCACGTAGAAGCCTTTCCTCAGGAATTGAGGAGATGACAATACTCACGAATGTCTGAGTGAGACAGAAAGGACACGCTTTTTTAGCAAACAACACCTTCTGAAAGTTTGAAATGGGGCCAACCTGGCTGGAGTTACTTGGCTTGGCCTGTATTGGATGTGGGCCGTCCTTGCTGCCTGTCGTTCTCTTACAGAAAGGGTTCTGGGGAGGTGCTTCCGTATGATGCCTCCTGTGAAGACATTCTCGTGAACAAGGCGAGCTGGGCACTCCTGAGAAAGAATGCGCTTGCCACCAAACACTTGTGGCGTGTCAGCTGGTTTTCTGCCCGTGAACCTTTCGCCAACAAAGTATTCATCAGCTTCTTTGAGTGGCCACTGCTGGTGGTCAGGACTTGAGCTTTCTGGACTCGTTCGTCAGAAGAAAGCTGGATGAAGGCGCCATCTCGAGTTTTCTTATACTCGAACAGTTGCAGAATAGCCAGGCGCGAAGCCATACCAGACAGCAGTCGAGCGTGCTCGAGTTCAGGAGGGCAGCGTTGCACCGAAGGCAGCCTTTTTGCACTCATGGCTCAGCGAGAACATTACATTTGAAAGTCTCAAGGTTGAAGCTGAAATAAAGCCATCGCTGAACTTCATGCCATACGAGGCAATTGGCTGTCCTCACGCGCCTTCACAGGACATGCAGTGTTGACCTTCAACCTGTCATGGAGGCCCCTACTAAGCCGCAACCGGTGGCTGCTCCTGTTCAAGATGTTGGTGATGCAGGTGTTCCCGAACTTTCAATAGTTTGAGTAGCACTGAGCAACCCTACGGTTCCTTTGGATCGAAAGCCTGGGCACTCTACAGGTATTGCGGAGGCTCCTGTTCCCAAGGGGCTGAATGCAGCATGCTCAGCAACGAGCGTGGCAAGCAACGATTGCAGCAAGGATGCCGCAACCATGCTCAATCATATTAAGCTATCCGTGTGGCCATGAGGTCTCTGGACCCAGAAAGTGGGGCCCAAGTGGCTACAATCAGCCTGGTGCTAGACCAGATCCTCCGCAGGCGCTAGCGCAGTGCTTTGGGTTGAGAGGCTGCTCGAACCCCTGCAGGCTTTGCATGAGAAGCCCTTGGCACCTGAGCCGAACGTACAGGCCACCGACGACCACCAATTTGCTAGCATACGTATATCCTGACGTTGCTTCAACGTTGCTTTATAATGGCCTGTTCCCACTTCTCAGGCCCAGGCGCAGCCAGCGCCGCCAAAGGTTGCTCCAAAGGCAGCTGAACCAGCAAGAACCCAAGCCTTCCCACCATGCCAAGACCATCGGAGCACACTGCTCGCAAAGGTGGTGAGCGAGAAGCAGAAGATGGCTGCTGCCTTGTTCAGCGGCCTGGGAGGTGCAGCTGCACCAGCAACTGCGCCAGTTGCGCCGGCTGCACCAAAGCCACCTCCAGTAGTGTCCTCAGCACCGGCACGTTGAACAGCTTAGCGCAATTGACATACGTCGAACAGGCCCGTGCTCGTGAGCCGGCAGTGGAGAAGGCAATCTTGTCTTTGATCCTGTGCTCCAACCGACTCACGACAACGCAGTCGCAGGTAATGGATAGTTCACAGACTGCCGTCGCAGCTGCAGCTGCTGTGGACCTACTGGATTTGGACGATGCAGCTCCAGCGCCAGCTCCGTCCTTGCAACAGCCAAAAGCTGATGGGGACATGCTCCTGCTGGACATGGCCCAGAACTCAGCTTCTGTCACTTGATCGAGGCAAGCGTGACACTTTGCGTCGTCGCCATGTCTTAGTGAAGGCTGTAGAAAATGCGTAACCAAGCGACGAGCTGTCTATGCGGCTGTAAGCAAACAAGATGGGGGCGGCTTGCGGAACAGCAAATGAAAGGATATGCCGAAGCGATACCCAACGAAAAGCGTTCTACAATGTTCCAGTCCCCGTTCTTGACCTCCCACACGGATCACTGCACTTGACTCGGCACATGCAATCCTTGGCCCCTTGCCGGATGTGCCATTTGGAGTAGCCTGGTTGTTCGCGCATGCACCCGTAGCATGTTCATGCGAAAACAAGACTGCAAGCCTACTGGCACTTGACCGCTGCAGAATTTTCAGAAGAATTGAGGACGATTCAAGTCCAGGTCCGGCAGTCCAAACCTCAGCTTCTTCTCGTGGACTACTCCTTGGCAGCAGCCTAATTAGACCAAAATGCCAGCTCAGGCGCCGCCACAGATGCCACAGCAGCAGCAGCCTCCTCTGTTGGGGCCATTGCAGGTCGTTTGACTGGCATTGTCAGCATCTTCTAACTCCAGCGTCAACCAATGCCGTTGTTTGCACTGGGATCTTTGCAGGGAAAATCTGGCTGATGTGCAAACACAAACTGTTTCTGTGAAGGTGACCACAGCCCAAGTAGCAGCTACCTGGCCACAGCTGGCCTCTGAGCGGATTGTGCAAATGCACACTTCCTTAGGTTCAGCTGCCATGATTGGGCTCATGTTTTGTGTCGGCGTAAACGCACTGGTGCCAGGAAGCTGCCAGGAGATGATGCTCAAACTGCAAAGTGCAGTAAACGTCAGTCCTGTGGAGATTGTGGGCCGTGCCCTCAAATCACGGCAGTTGCACTTGCCCTAGTTGGATATTGTGCTGGACTTTGCATGGGGATTAGCAGGTTGTCCAGACACGGTAATTTTGGGCTGCAGCATTGGGGTGATATTCAGTATTTTGGTCACATCCGATCATACAGCTGTGGGGCTCTACTGCTCCCGCTGCTCAAGCTTGCCCTCAGGCTGCTGCAGGTCGAAAACAAAACGGGCGTTACATCGATCTGATGTATTGTTGTTTATCATGTCCGCTTTCGAGCAAAGGGTGTACTTCGGTATGGTGTACTATGGGTTGTATTCGGCGGCAGTGTGCGCAATATCTGTGTGAGTGCGCGTGCGCGCATTGCAGTGTTCCCTCCCGATTGGTGTGTGTGTGTGTGTGTGT